GGTCGGATGGCTGGCGCGCTGCCAGGCGCGCGATTAATAAATGTTGACGTCATTTCTTTTTGGTTCGGTTTCGGAACTTTTTGGGTGCGGACATCGCGCGGGAATTTGCTTCGTTCTTTTTGAATTTTCTTTTTGATTTTTTTTTTCGAATTTGTCGAGCCCCGATGGCTCTCGGAATTTCGGACTTTCCTTCCGGAACCTGTACTTTTGCTTTTTCGCATTAGTTAGGAATTTAGGAATTTTGTAATTAGGACTTTCTTTTGCCGCGCGGCGCCTTTTTGCTTACGCGCTTCTTTATGCGGCTGCAACGGAATTCTGATTAGTTGGCACCTTTAATCGGGTGTGTAACTGTAATTTTGGGTTGACGCCATTGTAACTGTATCTTTCTTCTTGCGCTTCGTCTTTCCCACCCTCCTTCTCTTTCTTTTGCTGCGTTTTTGTAGCTACAGACTGCATGCTCAGATCGATGCTTGGAGAGTGGCTACGTCCCCCACACCGCGGCCCGGTCATGCAGAACGCAGGCACTCCCTCTCTGATCTCCCCTCTAAGTCCTGGTAATTCCATGTTCTTTGCGCATGCATACACGCTATTAATTTCGGCTGCGCAATTAGTTAGCTCTCTTAACCAGCTGTTGGAAGTTGGGGGTTGCGCGATCAGAGAGGGTCGGCACACGAGCGAAGTAAGAGGTGAGTGGAGCAGGAGTCGGGCGACCTGACGAGCTGGTGCTAAACGCGGGGGGTTGACGCGGGCCACGATAGACTGTGGGCGCGGACGAACCTGACAGGTGTTGGAGGACTAAGCGGGGTGTCGGCTTTGTGGGTTGGTGCGCAACGACGGACTGTCCGCATCCGAGAGAGAGAGAGGGAGGAAGAGAGAGTTGAGGTTGATGGACGCGGATTTGCTGTTTCTTTTATCTTTTCTCCCTCCTGCCTTGTGTATATAAATTTTGATTTCGGCTCCGGGCGATCTGCCCGTTCTATGTTTTTCGGAATCTAGACTCGGGTTTTTGCCCACACTTGTTTTCGCGATTTCCATCTTAGATGCACTGTGAGTGTATGTTGCCGAATGAATGGATATATGAATGCCATGTTTGGTTGCTTGTCTTTCTACCGGATCCTTGCCTTTGCCTTTGTTTGTTGCTTTTTATGTACTCGTGAGTAGGATAGGAATTTTGCGCAATCGGTAATCCTGTTCTCGTTTTTGTTTGTCTTTCGATTCAGCTGATTGTGGTCGTTGCATCTTACATGCTCAAAACAACATGGAGTGATTAGACGATCGGATGCCGGATTCAGCGAACGCCGCGCGAGGACACGTGTAAACGCGATCCGAGTTGCGCACTTACACGTATCCCCGTGCGTCGATTCAGAAAGCACAGTCTGATTGAACGCGGCCATCCAGGGTCCGCGATGGTGCAGTCGTCCTGCACGAACACGCGGAAGCCCGACTTAATTCGCGCGGTCTGCACGTGCTCGCACGCGGTGATCGCAATCGCCACGGACCCGCCCTTAGGCAACTCATAACTCCGCGATGACACAATGACACGATCCTGGAATTCAGACTCATCATACGACCAGGATTACTTCACCCCTTGGATAAACGAAATCCTCCGACAGAGATACCCTTGCCTAATCGAGAACCGACTGTGTCCTCGAGAGTTTCATTGCGCCACCACTAGCGCCCCCCGATGCTCAGATTTCCCCTCTCCGGACCATACCTACTACTTCACCCACCCCGGATTTGTCGTTATCTCCACCAGTTTCCTGCCCTTTCGCCTTCTTCTTCCGTATCACCAACTCAGCGTCGTCACGTGGCCGGCCATAGCCCCATACTGGCCCAGTACGCCCTGCGGAAACTGCCGACGACGCGGCGATCAGAAGACCCCGGAATCCCGGAGGCCCAACCTGAACGCGCGACGACCGGCGCCACGTGGCAACTTCCGACGGCCTGACTTATCGAAGCCCCCACCTACCTCGAAGGGATCCTCCCGCAAACCGCCGTCCCCGAAACCAATGGCTCGCCCGGCCCTGAGCGACCCACTTATACCATCTGCCTTGTGACCAGAGGCGGTCCGCTCTCTCCGCCAAATTGCACTCGTGCCCCCAAAACCCTGCCACAGGAGATCTCAGTTCTGACCTGGGACTCCACTCCCACTTTCCCAAAAATCCTTGGCACACCCCTTTTCGCACTTCCAGGCCCACATCCCACTCCGATCAGGAAGTCGCGCTGGGGGTGAGGTTGGGGCGTCACAGGCACCTCCGAATTCATCCCGAATTTGGAGAGTGTGTCGCGACGGACAACCGTCTGCGGCCAGCGTTTTGTCGTGTGTGGTTCAAGAGAACTCTCGAACCATGAGGTCTTTCCAGACCCTGGGTGGGCCCGAGCATCGTGTCCCCTGCCCGATGCGACACCGTTGATTTCCCTTTTCCCACCCACAACGAAAGTTTCGGGAGAGGCTGCACCGGCGGCACCGCCACACTGCACTATCCAAAAAGGTCGGGTTTTTTTTGACACATTGGAGAGTGCCCCCTTCGAGAGCGCAATTTGGCGATAAGGCCTCTCGAACCATTTTTTCATGAGGGTTCGCCACACTTATCCCAAAAACTGGAAAATGTTTAGGAGCGCTCTCGAACTCAGGAAGTCGAGAAAAACGGTTCGAGAGGCCTCATCGCCGCACTGTGCCCTCGAAGGGGCGCGCTCCAATGTGTCGTAAAAGACCCGGCCTTTTTGGAGAGTGCAGTGTGGCGGTGCGGCCTCTCCCGAAACTTTCGTTGTGGGTGGGAAAAGGGAAATCAACGGTATCGCGTAGGGCAGGGGACATGATGCTCGAGCTCACCCAAGGTCCGGAAAGACCACAGGGTTCGAGAGTTCTCTTGAACCACACACGACAAAACGCTGGGCGCAGATGGTTGTCCGTCGCGGCACACTCTCCAAATTGGTGTTTTCGGGATAGGTGTGTCGAGGCCCTGAATTTGACACCTCTTGAATGAAAATTCAGGACGAGGCGTCAAGAGTTAGTGCAGCGGTGATGAATTTTTTTTTTTTTTTTTTTTTTTAAACAAACAGCTCCATCTATTGGTGGGGAGCAACACCTGCTGGAAACCGGGTCCAGCGTCTCATAGATACAACCATATCCTCTTAATTTGGCACAAACTGGGAACCGGGCCCAGCATCCCATCATCTGAAAATTTCATGAATTTAGACAAGGAACTATTAGAAAAATCCAAACAGCGATTAGTGGAAGTCCTTCGAATGCTCAGAACCCCTGGAAGCTCCCCACAAAAAACACTCTAAAATTCTTTAATACTGTCTTCCTCCCTGCTGAGCTCTCCTAGGCCTCATGCCCCCACCATGCTAGGTTACAGGGCAACACGACTCACCCCGACTCCGGCCAGCATCGTCCCGACAGCAACCCTTGGTTTTCCCTTAGAATGTCCGGCCCAAAGCATCCCCAGATCTCTCTACCAGGCCTCACGCTCCTGCTATTAACAGGTTACAGGGCAATCCCCCAGCACCGGCCAACGTCGTTCTGACATCGAAAAACCAACAGATCCATGAGTAAACAGCATCAAGGAAACCTAGACTGCTTTGCAATAAGTCCCCAGAGTCCTAAACAATTCTCAAGACTACCTAAAATATCCAGAAACATCTCGAACCTGACAAAGAAACTAGGGCCAAATTAAAAAAAAAAATTGAGGTGACTATGACAAAATTCAGAAATGGACTCAGAGAAACCCCCCATCAGACCTCTACGTCTCCCTCCGCCACCATCTCTGCTGCTGTTGTGCCATACTCTCATCCTACCAGCTAGCCCCCTCACTGATAGGACGCGTGATATCCCCCCATTTTCTTCTCCCACCCACCCTATTCTCTTCTCAAGGTATGTCATAACACATTACAGTAAAAAGGAGCATGAGAATAGGCCGCAGGGGTCCTGCAAATGATCAAAAAAACGTTGAAGTCCCTCACACACCCTTCCGAAGTCTTCCAAAGTTGTCTTACTCCCTGCCGAGCTCTTCAAGGTCTCCCACCCCCACATCTAGCTCGGTTACAGGGCAACACGACTCACCCCAGCTCCGACCAGCGTCATCCCGACAGTAACCCTTGGATGTCCCGTGGAATGCCCACCCCAAAGCATCCCCAGATCTCTCTACCAGGCCTCATGCTCCCGCATTGCAGGTTACAGGGCAACTCCCCAGCATCGGCCAGCGTCGTTCTGGCATCGGACAACCGGAAATCATAGAGTGCAACAACCTCGAAACCACCTCAGGATGAGTTAGCAGGAATCTCAAAATCCTGAAGACCATCCGGGACTACCAACCGACCTAATCTTATTAAGATTTTCGCCATAAACTTTGTGAGAACGGGGGGGGGCGAAACTAAAACACCTACTATCCTAAAATCCCCCCTCAACAGACGAAGTGTCAGTCCAGGCTTTCAGTCTTCGTACCATAACTCACTTGATTTCATACCCCCTCTCTGCTAGGGTAACAGGGCACCACAACCTTCCCCAGTACCGACCAAACTCGTTCTGACGATCAGGAAGTGTCTTCCTCCCTCGGCAGTTCATGTGGCGGCAAGCCCCTAACCGGTTACAGGGTCACTACCCTGGCGCCAGCCTCGTTAGACGGTCTGGTTATGCGCTCAGCATAACTTCGCAGGCCTCAAGCTCCCCCCCGGGTTACAGAGCACAAGCTCCAGCACTGGCCTGCGTCGTCCCAGCACCGTCCTTCTAACCTACCTACCCTGACCAACGACCCTCCTCTGTTAGGAACCCCTTCCACCTTCCATCCCCAATCCCAGCTTCGCACCCCTAAGAAATCAAGACTTTTTGAAAATCGAAATTGAAAAATGAGATCAAATAGCAATCACGAAAAATTTTGACATCCAATTCAAAATCAGTCAATTCAAAAAATCAATCACAGACACAGTTTGAGAGATTTCGAAATTTCAAGATGAAAAACGGTATAGGAAGTTGATTTTGATGTCCTCACGGACTTTCGACTCTGATTTCCATAACTCTAGTTCAAGAAATCGCTCAGATCGTAGATCAGGAATTTGTAAACAGAGAAAGCCAACTGTAATCAACCCTCTAGACAAGACATGAGAAAGAAGATGCAAAGTATCGATCGGGATCTATAAAACCCTAGCACACAAATACGTCATGTAGACTCTTGAGAAACATGTAGACTCTTGATTTCTCAAGATTCAAGAGTAGTGCAGCGAGGCCCTATTGCAGCTCGACCAGTACTGAGTATGGGACCAAGGTGTGTGAATAAATTTCCCGCTCCTCCCCGGGTCCCTGCTATACCCGTGATTTTCATTGTGTGTCTCTCCAAACGCATTTGGACATTTGTCTGTACAATCGCTGGTCCACCACCGTCCTGGCTGCGCCCCCACGCTCCACGTGGTATCAGTGGCTGCTACGGGGTTCCCCGTAATACTATAATAATGATTGTCTACCGCGTGGGCGCGGGGAACGCAACCCTAAGGTAGCCAAG